AAACATAATTCACAAATATAGTTTTATTATTATAGGCACTAGCTTGACCAACAAACTGGTGCCTTGAACTAATCATTTATTAATGTTGTCAGCCTGGTTTATCAGGTATTAATCTAGGGAAGTTTCTTCTCAAGCGTGTGATTGACATGTTGAGAAGAGATATGCCATCAGTACAGGTACCACTTATAATATCCAATATTAATCATCATTGTTAAACATACAACAACAACAACAAAGCCTTTAAGTCCCAAACAAGTTGGGGTAGGATAGAGTTGAAACCCAGCAGAAGCAATCAAGGTTCAGGCACGTGAATAGCTGTTTTCCAAGCACTCCTATCTAAGGCTAAGTCTTTGGGTATATTCCATCCTTTCAAGTCTCCTTTTATTGCCTCTACCTAAGTCACTGTTAAACATACGCCATTTTTATTTTTATTTTGTTCTAAACCACTGGAATCAATAGCCTTGTGCTTCTGAGTGTCAATTAATTGTTTTGCTTAAAAGCGTAATACTTACTGGTTCCCTCAAAATTAGTTAAGGCATTGATAGTAACATTACAAAATAATTTATCAGGCTCACAAAGCTCATGTTAAGACATTGGCTGTGTTTCTTAATACCTTAAATGTCATATACTTCTTTTTTTGGTATTTCATGCAGATTTTTGCAACACTTAGCCCAATCCCTGGTTTCATGCAATGGCTTCTTGCTAAGCTGGCCTCCCAAATAAAATTATCAGAGGCAGAGTCACAGGAGGGGAATTCACTAGGAGCTTGTTCTACTTTCAAAGAATCCATACTTCTACCTGAAGAAGAGAGAATGATTCATGATGCCATGTATGTTCATTCTGAGACAATGTCTGAAATTGAGCTTCATCTGTAGCCAGGACTATTCTTGTCTTATACTTCTACTGTTCTAAGTTCCTTTCCCTTCTGGAAGTTCGTAGTACCTAGTAACTCCACATATTTCCATTTTCTGGGAATTCGGATGTTCTAAACTTTAGAAACATGCATCTGTTCTGCAATTTATCAACTCCTGTTTATGTTTGTTGTGAATATATTTCTATTCAACAAAGCAAGAGGGCAAAAACTTTAAAAAGTTTACTATTGATCTTTGATCAGCTGTGTTGTTACTGTTGCTGCAGTGAACAAGCTGATGGAAAGCAAGGGATTGAACTATTGCAAGATATACTGAAATCAAGACAGTGGGTAAAATCTGACAAATTATCTGCTGCATTAAAACTGCCTCTTATGCGTTTATGTGCAAGGTATGCAAAAACATTATTTCCACCGTATGTGCACATTAGAAAACGCGAGTTAGTTGCAATCTTTGATAGTTTTGTGCTAATGCCTATTATGTCTAGGTATCTTGCCAGAGAGAAGAAGCGAGGAAAAGCTCTAGATGCTGTAGCAAATTTTCACTTGCAAAATGGAGCAGTAAGCTACTATCACAAATTCAGTTTGGAATGGTGCTGCTGAGGAACAGATGTGATTTTTCCATGTTCAGAAAACAAAATTTATGTTTGGTTAACCTATACCCGAATTTTTTTTAATAACTTTGTAAAACGATGTTGGAGTGCCTTCTTTACCATGTAACCGTTATATGCTATTTTTTTATGCGTAAAGTCTGGGTCTAATCAAATCAGATAATAACTACTGGAAGGAGTAGCTATTTGGAACAATTGCTTCACATAACAGCACTTGCTATTTTGGTAGATGATTGAGAGAATAAACTGGATGGCCGACCAATCAGAGAAGGGCATTCAGCAAAGTGGAGGTATCATGGTCAATTATCTTTACAGGTATTGCTTCTATTGATGTACTAGTGATCTGAATACCTTTGGATGGGTTTCATGGGCAGTATGTTGTAACTATGATAACAGGTTTGAGAACATAGAAGAGTATGCACTATCATATTCAAGTTCAGGGCTCATCCATTCTTCCACCTAGCCTGTCTGAGTATCTTGAGGTTAGTAATATTGGCTTGTGCTTTACACCGATATGTTTTGACTGAACTGCCCCATTTGTTACTGCTATTTTTGTCATCCCGCTTTTGTATCTCATTGAGAATTCTGTAGCAGCTGAAGGATTTATGAGACAACATTTTTGGAACGGACTTGGCTTCCTGAGGTGTTTTATCTGTCATTGGATACTCTGAACCAAGATGATTTACATTGATAGGATATTGCAGCTCTTCCCCTGTTCATCGTGAACATGAGGGTTCGTAAAATAATACTGCAAAAGTAGGTCTTATAGCTTCTGGAATATGTTTCTGAGTTGGTCCTAGTGTAATTTGTAAAAGGGTGACAAATTGAGGGCTCTAACTCGGTCTTTATGATTTCTTTTTTCCTCCAGAACATGTAGCATAAAAATACTGCAGACTTATTTGGATGCACTTGTGTTTCACACCAATATGTGCGTTGGACTGGATTGGGATGGAAATTAACCTCAATACGTGTGGATTATGATAGATTTGACTCTATTCAAATTCAAACAAAGCCTGCACATATGTGTATATCATGAATGCAGCATGCGAACATACTCCTATGTGTAGGCACTAGGCAGTTTTGTTGGCACTGCCTTCCAGTGTTTTGGTATTTGAGGGGCCACAGCGTTATGTTAATTTGGCTTACTCCGTTCGTTCTGTCCAGTATGTTATAAGAGCTGCACTGTACATGTTTGAGATTTTTTGGAATCGCGTGAAGTTGTGGTTAATGAAATCCAAACGCAAATGCGAGTGCTTGTGGAGGTGTGGAAGTCCGTCCCCCTTCGGCTGTACTACTGCGGTACAGCCACAGTTGACGTCATGGCTGCACGGCTCAAAACATTGCGTACGTCTGCACAAGGGACTTGGAGCAACGCGCGCTCCAAAGATGAATGAAATCATGAACCCACGAGATCTGTCACGTTTCAAAAGGGTAAGAACAATTTTGACACCGCGAGCTTCAGTACGCAGTGCAGCCTGTATATGAAACTCCCCCTCCCGATGCCGACGGACTCCGCGCCGCCGAGCGCATCAGCGTCGCTGTCCGAAGACGACCGCCTGCTCATCGCCCACTGCGCCGCGCTCTCCATCCCCGCCAGCTCCCCCACCGCCACAGCCACCGCTGCCGCCGCCTCCCCCTCCGCCTCCTTCCAGGTGCACCATGCGTCACACCCCTACCCCTGCGCCGCCTTCGCCTTCCCGCCCTCCTGGTCCGCCGCCGACTGGATGGGAGGCGACGGCGGCCGCCCGCCGTTCGGGGACGCCGAGGTGGACCCGGCCCTGTTCCCGTCACTCCGCGCTGTCGGGAGCGGCATCCCCGCGCGGACCAACGCCGCCTTCCTCGGGGCCTTCCGCCAGCTGCTCGACGGATCGACGCTCCAGTCCGAGGTAGCTTGATAAACCCTCTTTGAATTTTTGTGACCAGATATTGTTGCTGCTAAAGGAAATGATATTACTTGTAGTACAAATTATATTGCGACTAAGAGCTGGATATGAGATTATATTGGTAGTTTTGAAACTTGTTTCCTTCCAAAATACTTATGACGTATACATGGGTTAAAGTTTTAAGCTCGAGGTGTGTTAAGTCATGTTTTAGAATGAGAAAGTCATACTTGTCTGCTGTATATTGAAATACTCCCTCGATCTGGTATTGTAAGGCATGTTTTAAAATGAGAAAGTCATCAAAAAGTGGATTTTGACCATTGATCCCTCAGTGACCATATTGTCAATGGCTACAAAATCAACATGTCTTAAAGGTATTTTGAATATTAATCCGCTGACACAATTTTCGTACATGCGACATAGATGTAGTTTAACTAATTGTCTGTTCATGTATGTATTGGTTGATATTGAGCTAGTCAGCAGTATGAGATCGGAGATACAGTTATACTTGTGTGTTTTCTTTGCTCTAGTGGATGCCACCAAGAGCATCTTTTCTGGATGGTCTTTGACATGATGTTTCTTTGGCAAAATTTTGATTTACCTATTTTTGTTAGAGAAAAGGAAGCAGAACATTTTCGCTCACACTACATAACCCAGATCTCTTGTCAGGGGCAGGATAGCAGGAACCATAAATAAAGTCACACAGTTGCAAATAAAGCAGCCAGTCTGATTGAAACATAGCTATATAATTACATCTCATAAAAGGGTGGCGCAGCAGGTTTGCATCTAGGCTTAGACTCCAAAACAGCCGTGTAGGTAGACTAACGTAAATATTTTAGCAAATATTCAATTTATCTGTGCTTTCTGTTATTTTGTTTCACTTGAGCTTATAAAACACAGAAGGGGAGGTGATGAGATTCCAGGAATTAGTAAAATTCAGACAGGTAAGTTCCATAGCATATTCGTAGCATTGCCACTTCGATGCTCCAGCTCCAACCATCCAGGTGCTTAGTGTTATCATGTGCTGTTTTCATGATCAACAATATTGCATTATTTCACACACACAAAAAAAAGGGGAAAAGTCACGATTTCTGTTCCTTGCTTTCTTATGGGTGATCAGCATAGGCCTTTCATGGTCTTGGTTGCACCGGGTACTATTTCTATATGATGATGTATAGAATATCGATGTTTTAAATTGAAAATGATAGTCTTGAAATGATAAATTAGATTTGGATTTTGGATTCACTATGCTTTCACGGAAGGGAACATAAAGTAAAACTATTTCCCCGCAAATACAGGTATCAAGAGCTGTGGCGGAGGAGAAACGCCTAGTATTCACAGGCCATTCATCAGGAGGTTCAATAGCGACCCTTGTTGCTATATGGTTTCTTGAGAAGTGCACCAGACGAGGAAGTATTAATCAAGCACACCCATTTTGTGTGACCTTTGGAGCTCCTCTTGTTGGAGACAATATCTTCAACCATGCTGTTAAAAGAGAGGGCTGGTCACAGTGTATTTTGCATTTCCTTCTTCCACTGGACATTGTCCCACGCATACCACTGACTCCGCTTGTGTTCAAAGCATTTTCTAACCAACATGCATTCTTCCAATGTAGAAAAGAAAACTTCTTTTTTATCACAGAGCAGGGAAACTATACTGCACCTTTCTGAAGCTGCGCAATGGGAGAAGCAAAGACAGAGAAACCAAACAAAAATAGATGAAAGTTGCCAAAAGATTCAGGAAGCCCTCGGGTCCCTAAACGAGTACAAAAGATCAAGGGAACTCCGTGGTGTAAGCTGCTACGATTCCTTCAAGCTCCAACGTGAGGTGCATGACTTCGATGCAAACGTGCGGAGGCTGGTGCTAGCTGGCCTCTGGGACGAGATAGTGGAGATGTTGCGGAGGCGTGAACTGCCGGACCGCTTCGAGGCTCGTGAGGAGTGGGTGAGCCTGGGGACCTTGTTCCGTCGCCTGGTCGAGCCGCTGGACATCGCCAACTATTACCGGCACTCCAAGAATGAGGGCACCGGCTCCTACCTCTCCAAGGGGCGGCCGAGGCGGTACAAGTACACGCAGAATTGGCACGAGCAGCTGCAGCGCGCTCCCGTTGGGTCCAGCCTCGAGTCCTGCTTCTGGGCGGTGGTCGAGGAGCTCCAGGCGGAGATGGCCGACGGCAGGGCTTTCGAGGACCTGAGAGACCGGGTGGTTAAACTTGAGAACGATGCACATGGCTGGTATAACTCTGGAAATTTGGGCAAGGACGTGTTTCTGGGGAGCTCGTCTTTCGTGGCGTGGTGGAGGACGCTCCCGGAGCAGCATAGGTCGGCGTCGAGCATTGCGAAACTTGTATCTCTGTAACGGATTTTGGCTGAGGAACTAGCGGTTCCAGATCTTCTAGGAACAGAAGCAAGTGTAGTACAGTATATTGTATGGCTGATGAGCTCTTTGTAAATTCGCTGCTCTATATGTACTTCCCACAATAAGATTAACGGTCTTTTGAAAAAAAAAATATTAATTAATATATTGTTGGAATATGATTCAAATTCTAAGGTTAGTTTTGCGGGCCGCGGTTCAGGTTATATGTTTAACTGATTTGTTTTCATATTTGACTGCAGTGAGTTCATGTTATTGTAAGCCATATGGCAAGAGGAAACAACTAGTTATATTCTCTGCGTTATGTAAACTCTCCTTACAGTGAAGATTGTTGGTAGATGCTCGTGATTTTTTGCCGCAAGGATTCGTTATATTCCCTGCATTCCTGCATTCTGTAAACTCAAGATTGTCGGTTGACGTGGTTTTTTACCATAAGGATTCATTATATTCCGTGTGTCGGTTGACGTGGTTTTTTACCATAAGGATTCATTATATTCCGTGTGTCCCGTAAACTCAAGATTGCCGGTTGACGATCGTTGTTTTTTTTCCCGCAAGGATTTTTCACGTAAAAAAATCTTTATCTCATGTTTGATCTTTATTTGTAATTATATTTGCTAACAAGTGGTATCAGACATGAAATTGAAAAAAAAATATTAGGGTTTAATTCCTGTTCGTCGGCCGCCACCGTCGTCGGAATCTATCTGGAAACCGAAGGCGTGTTTGCGCCCAGGTCGGATTATCTGCACAGGGACACAGCAGTCGAGCTCGGGTCCGACGAAGGCGACAGGACCGCCGCTTCCACGCGCAGTGGGTCGAGGACGCCGGTGTCGTTGACGCTGTTGGTAACCATGCTTCCCCCTTGGCTCGATTTGGAGGAGAGCAGCACCATGCAGCCCATACAACCATGGAGCATGGGAGGAAGAAGCACGGGAGAAGGAAAGGGCTTTATTGAAGGACTCACCGCGTCGATTTGGAGGAACCTCCCGTCAGCCACCATGACCACGGCAGGTTCGCCCACCTCCAAGAAGACAACAGTGAGGAGGACTAGAGCCCTCGAAACGTCCATCCAGGCACTTATTCCACTAGGGAACTCTACAGGGAGGGTGGGAGGGAGAAGGCAGGCGAGGGGGGGTCCGGCCCACCTACCCTCGTCGCCCGGCGAACACGCCAGGGAGGAAGGGCAGGGGGCCGGCGGCGGGGACGCTCACTTTGGAGGCTCTCAGCAGAAGGCTGCTCTCTCCTGCCTTCAGAGTTCAGCTCTTAACGAGTACTCCCTCCGTTTTGTCTGTCGTTTTCGTTACCCGAAAAACAGCTGACTAGATATATATATATTAAAAATTATTAATATTTATGATATATAATTAGTATCATTGAATAGATATTTGAATCTAGTTTTTTAATAAATTTATTTAGAGATAGAAATATTACACGTATTTTCTATAAATTGAATTAAAGTTATCGACAAGTAAATCGTGATGACCAGCCACGGAGAGATTAGAACCAAGTTGCCGTCCGTATTTACGCTCACACCGATTTTTTTAACACATTTTTTAAATTATTTTAAAAACTGCCACTGTTTAATTTTTTTTTCAAAACTAACTCTTTTGGACGTGCCTGTTTGCACGACGCGGCTAATTCACGGCTGTGGCGACCGCTGATATGGCAGGTCTGACGCGCCACCCGTCACGGCGCGGTAGCCCCTTGTACCCGGCCTTGCTTCCCTTTCTCTCTCTGTCTCACTCGGCCACCACCACGCTGCGCCCCGCCCAGCGCGCCCCACCCGGCGCGTCGCCACCACGCCCCGCCCAGAGCGGCCACGCCCGCCGCGCCACGCCGCGCCGCCACCACGCATCGCCCGCCGTGGCCGTGGCCGCCCCGCCCAGCGCTCTCGCCCGACGCGACCCCGGGCGCCAAGGCCGCCGCCGTGTGCCAGTCCTCCCTGACTCCATCTCATTCTCCCCCTGTCTCGTTGCCTCCCTTACTGCCGCCGCCGCCCCTGCTAGAGCGATGAGCTCGCTCAGTCTGTCAGTGTCGTCCTCAACCTCCTCCGCCTGCAAGCCCTCCTCAGCAAGAGCGATGAGATCGCTCAACCTAGCAGTGTCATCCTCATCCTTGTCCCCCTCATCAGACAACACGATCGAAGATTGAACGGTGCGACCAGCTCGCGTTCTGTGCTCATGTAACTTCTTTTTCTCAAATCTTGCACGGGGCACCTCTACGGCATGGTTATATTACATTTAAAAGCAGGTAATGAAAATAACAATGCTTCCAATGACTTACTGGCACACAATGCAACGATATGGTCGTTCAAGACCTGCATCTGTACTCTTTTCTCCTCCCTTGCCTCCTTCATTGCCCTCTCCTCCTCTAATGTCTTCCGTTTCTTCAATCCCCATTTGTCAAGCCTAACATTGATCGGGTTATGAATACCGCGCTGTCTAGCAAACTCACGCATCTTATTTTTGTGATGTTTATCGAATAGGTTGACGTAGTCAGGTCCATATCCCCTCTTCCGTGCAATTACTTGCCTCCCCTTTAGTTCATCCAATAACTTAGTTTGACCATCATAACATTCCCACCTATATTTCCTAGTGCTCTGTTCAAACAAAAAATTATATCATATATGTCTTAGCAAAAAAAAACAAAATACGATTTCATGTTTACCACAAAAATAACCAACCTCATCATAGTCAACCATATGGCCGCAATAATAGCCTATTCCAAGCTCCGAAGGGACTAGACCATAGTTGGATTTAACACCACATTCGCACTTGACTGGAGGTGTTTTGTAAATTAACCTTTCTTTCTTCTTTTTCTTTGCCTTCGGTGGATCCGGCCATTGATTCTTAGGACCGTAGAGTTACTCATTGAAACGACACTTCACAAATCCATAACGCTATAAGAGAATACATTAGTACACGTACACATATAGAGATAAACATTTAAACAGATACACTTTTCATTTACTTTGTGTTTGTTCGGGCACACAAACTCTAACGTATTCTCAGGGTTTATCATAGCTCGATCTCCGCATTCACACAGAGGAGGTTCCTCGAGTCGTCTAACTGCGGCTAGATGCTTCTCCTTAGCCATCATTGGTAGGGGGTTAGGGGGTGGTGGAATCCACCGCTAGAAGTACTCACGTGGATGTCTCCCTCTACACCAATCGTAGAAAAAGGAGGTACCTAGGGTCAAACTTGTCTGCACCGTCAACCCACTAAAAGAAAAGACACCTCTCATTGCCCTACACAACAAGATTCCAACAAAATATTAGTAGCCTACTTACACAAATAAAGAAAAAAAAGATAGTGGAAACAATTACTTACATTAAAACGGCTGCATATGTAGAAGTAACGTGCTGCTGTGTCTGGATGTCTCGATTGAAACACGTCGGCCGGGAAACCACAGTCACAGTTAGGGACAGGGGAGTCAGGAGGGACGGGGACATCTTTGCTAGACGCGTCGGGGTATAATTCTCGAGGATGACCCCGTTTTCGCCAAAACTCCTCCCGATACATTTCTTGCATCTAACAAAACAGTTGTAATTTAACAAACAAAAATCAAAACATCACAAATTAATGTCAATGAGGACCATTTGCATTACAACAAATAAAGTATAACCCACACTTTGGTGCAAACTCTATCTTAGATGCAAACATGAAAACTATATAAAAACTATACTTTGGTCAGTAAAAAATAAAATTTGGTACATCAACAGTGTGTACATATATTTATTCACATATAAAAGTTGAGATACAAACTCAAACAAGTGAAATTCATATAAAAATTGACCTTAGAATATATGGTAATCATAATTTTAACTAACCGATTAACCTTAACATTCGCAATCCTAATCCTAATCCTTTAATCTAACGTTCTAACGAACTCATATTTTTCTCTATACCCCGACTACTCATTCAAATCATTCGATCCACCGTGGAGGCCGAGGAGGAGCTTCATTACCTTGACAAGGCTGAGGAGGAGCTTCGGGGAAGATAGGGAGGGGCCGGCAAGGAAGGGAAATTCGGCGGTCGACCGTGGGGGAGCCGGGAGGCAATGGCGCGGCGGTGCGGCCCGGGAGGCGTGGCGGCGGGGGCTAGGCGGCACGGAGGCGGCTACTGTGCGGCGCGGAGTGAAACAGAGAGGGGGGAAAGGGACTGGGCCGCAGGCCTCTATTTGGCTCTGCCGCGCCCTGACAAGTTGCGCGTCACAGCCGCGCCCTGATCGGTGGCGCGGCAAGGCCTGCCACGTCAGCGACCAGCGAGCGGGACATTGCCACGTACGCACCTTTGCCGCGTCGCCATGCATGGCGCGGCAGAGTTGTTTCGCCGCGTCGTGTAAATAGGCGTGTCCAAAAGTGTTAGTTTTGAAAAAAAAATAAACAGCGTCAATTTTAAAAATAGTTTAAAAATGTGTTAAAATAAAAAAAATTCCACACCGATTGCTAACAACGAAGACTGTTTGCTGTCCGTCCAGGAGGAGACTCGTCACGCGCGCGGCCCGAGGAGAACCAAGTTCACGTGAAAAGTTTCAAAAAAAAAGTTCACGTGAAATCAAATTTGGGGAAGATTTGCTGCGTGCACGTGCACACGTAAAGCCTACCAGGAGATCTATACTTTCAGTTTATTGCTGGTGGTACACAATTGTGTATCAAGCTGCAGGTTTCAGCTAGGGTTGCACCTAGATTTCTGCAGAGTATTAGTATTTTTCTAGTTATTACTGTTATTTTCTTCACCATATCGATGAAGCATGATCTTCCATCCTTGGATCGTGATACAAGGTTCGCACTATAGCAAATCAAGATGAGAGATATTTTTACACAAATTGAAGTGGATCATGCTCTTGATAAATTTGGTAGCAAAGATTTAAACTTCTGGACCGATGATGAGAAGCGAAAAGATCATAAGGCCTTGACTCAAATTCAACTTCATCTATCAAATATTTTTTTGCAAGGTTGTTTGTAGGAGAAAACTGTAGCTTCACTA